CCTTCTTGTAGACTGGTGTGAAAAGTATTGGTTGAGGTATTAGTTGCTGTAGATGTTTCTTCTACTGCTGTCGACTCCTGTATACAGGGGTGTAAATCTTGCTGCTCCCGCAGCACACTGCAGTTCTGGGCTGTCTTTGTGAGTGCTGAGCTTTATTTTAACTTGTGACAGGGGGACATCTTGAGCACCATGTTTCATTGCACTCTTTATGGGGAGACATTTTCATCTTATAAACAAAAAGTCAAGCCAGCCATGAAACCCAGCATGCTCTTGGTGAGTCTTAAATGCACCTTTATAATGATAATTCACGTGTAAGATTTGAATGCACTAGTTGCAATTAGAAATAGAATCTTGTTTTATTTTTTAGAATAGCAATGCTGTCTGTGCTCTAGATGATCAGAAGGTGAGTTCCTGCACAAAAAAAACCCCGCTTAGCTCAGGCTTTAATTATGACCTTGGGCATGGACTGATCTTTTTATACACCAGGCACCTGCATATGTAAACCTGTCTAACAGTGAGCACAAACAGGCAGTGATTTGTATGAGAGCAGAAAGGTGAAGGTTCTTTTGAGAAGCTGAATATAAAAGCTCCAGCACATTATTCCTTTTCTTTCCTCATTTACCTAATTGCAATGGTGGTCTGGTATGAAGGTAAGGATTGGAAACCTCTTTCCAATTATTCACACATGTCCTTGTAGTGAAAAATTTTGTGAAGCACATAGAAAGGATGTCTTGTAAGGTCTTCTGTCACATTCTTGGTTGAACTGACTCTGTTCTACTGAAATGTAGAAGAATATTAAGAAATTATTTGCACATTTTATTAATTTTAGCTGTTAATCACAAACAAGTAGCTTAACTGGTTATCTCATAAAGGTTCTTCTTTCTGATTCTCTCTCCATAGTTCTCACTGAAATGGGTTGTTTCATAACTTGGGATTCACTGCACCTGTGATATCCTAAAAACTTTAAGCTTGGCATTGACCCCAAAGCTGCTTTAATATTGCATGTCACTATAGTTCTTGACATATGATTTCACCTGTTAAGGACTAGGTTTTTGTGTCATCTTGTTGTCTTGCTTTCTTATCCTCTGAGTACCCTTTGGCAGCAAGAAAATATTAAATAATGCCAGCTGGCTGCTCTGCTTGAACTCAGTTTCTAAAACACTTCTGAGAATATATCCTCGTACAGACTTTTATAGCAGAGTTCCCCATTTCTCCTGTGGCTGAAAGGTGGTTGAAGGGGGCATCAATCATTATGTCTGTGCTTGAAACACAAACAGGACATTTATATGACCTTCAGGTACTACAGTGACCAAAAAAAAATGTGTCTAGATATAAGTGGTTTTGATACTTAGCTTCCTGGGGACATGCATGTGGGCAGTGCATCTGCAAAGACTACAGATATTGGCAGGTGAGCTATATTCAGAGTGGTTTTCTCTTCTCCTGTCTATCCTTTTTTAAGGTCTCCACTATATAGTTGCAGTGGCAGTGAGAACCACGCTAGCTTCTGTTGTCACAAGAATGAAAACGGTGCATATTTGATGCACCTGGCTTGGTGAATGCTGCATATATAAAAGGTCTAGTTCTGTAAGTATGATAAATACTGCTCTTAAGTAAGGTTGAGGACACCTTAAGCCACGGTCACCATGGAGTGATAAATCACATACTGCTACTAAAAAAAAGAACATCTTTCTTTTCTTTAAGGAACATCTGCACAGTGTTGTGGAGCAATGTGGTCATTGGAAGAAAGGGCAAGAGGGTTCAGTACATCAAATTTTTATCATGGCTTAAGAACCCTTTATCCTAGCTGAACTGCTGAACACTGGGATCTTCTCGGTGGAACTGTAACTACCTCCTTCCTTGACTTCATTGTTGGTCTTCCTTATGTATATATGCCACAGATAAACTAAGGAGGCATGAGTAGCTGCCTTCTCTCTCAGTTCCAATTCTGTAATTGACTTGATTAGTAGAAAATTTAGCTGAGTAAACATTTGTGTGATGTTATCTGTGGATTCCTGTGCTTTGCATTAAATTCTCTGCTGCTCTGTAGTGCACTTTTGTTTTGAGTGGCACTGCTGATGACCACAGGCTGCCTCTTTGGAGCCTGACCACACTGGAAGACCTCTGCAAGAATTCAGCCAGAGTTTTGTGACTGGGTTGGGTGAATGTGCTGGCTTAGTGGTACAGGTGATGCCCTTGCTGCTTGCTTTCTTTCTTTTTCTGGTACTCTGCAGGCCATCCTTCTGGAAGCTATCTGATGGTATAATTTTTTTTTTCTTCCATACATGTTCTAAAATGAATTCTATTTTTTTACAGAGTGCCATATTTCAATCTTTGTCTTTTTTTTTTTAAACTTCTCTTTAAAAAGAAAAAGGAAAAAAAAAGTAAAACTTCTGTTAACAGATCTAGTAACCAAGTAATAAAAACTGAATGTCACAGCAAAGTCAGATCATAACAGTGCGACAGGATATATTGTCTCTTAAGGAGAAAATTGATGTCATTCCTTTGATCTCAGGGAGTTTAAAAATAAAAAAAACCTCACAAGTGTAATAACACATAAGGGTTTGGTTGGTTTTGCATACTTCTTCTGTTAATTCCCTAATTGTATTTCAGGGGTTGTAGTGCTGTTTGGGCAGTCTTTATAATTCTGTTCTGTTTCTTGCGAGCTGGAAAGGTGACCAGAATGACTCCTGTCATTCCAATACTGCAAGGGAATGTATGGATTCAATTGGTATTCAGGGAGTTTTGTGTTCATTTTAATCTGTTCACAGTTAATAAGTTGTTTTCATTTTAGATCTTGTATAAGAATTAAATGAAAAATTATAATTTTACAAATGTTAGACAAACTTCTCCAATGTATAAATGCTGTTTTGCAACCAGCCCTCTTAAAAAATGATGTACTTGTTCATGGTGGAGGAACTAAAGTAGCTTTTAAGATTTCATAATGTTTATCCCAGTGTATTTTAGTTCTGTGTTAAATACCTTGAGTAGTAGGAGTATCAACATGAATAGAGATTGATTCAATACACATGCCTTGGGGGCAGGAGGTGAGGGGAGGGAGGGAGTGAGCTCAGTACTACAAATACTGGTCACTTGTTATATTAAACTCTTAGAGACTGACCAGGCACATGACCTTAAAGGCTTCTTTCAAAGGGTTACATAAAGACGATGGGTTAGGCCCTGTTATGTTTTTGCCATGAGTGAAGTAATGATTGAATTCACTGAGTTTCGAATCCTTCAGATTCTGAAGAAAGATTTGGCAAAATGTACATTTTGTGCATTTTTATAGATTCCATCCTACAGTATAGACCATACCCTGTTGGTTTACTCTTAAAATCTGCAACTTTCTGCCAAAGATTGACAAATGAGTTTTCAGTTTTTGTGGTTGCTGACAGCTAATCTCTCCTGCTGCCTTTGACAAACAATGTGACAAGCACAAGCCGTGTATGACAGGTTGTAGTGTGGCTGAGCACAGCCTCTGTCTGTGGTGGGAGAGACCTCTGAGAGCAGGCAAGAGATGCCAAAATGGATTCTTGTGACTCAAAATCTAGCAGGTCCTTTGGTGGAAGAGTAGTTCCTTTGTATGTGTATCTGCACCCATGGGGTTTTCTTACTTGTTCCCATGTCTCTGACTTGGTGTGGGTTTTTTTTTTATTTGATATGAGATTTAGGCTTTCCTATCTAGATAGATAGATATTTGATAGCAGCAAGGTTCCTGTTAGGCCACTAAGTATTTTTTTGCTGATACTGGTAGAAGACTGTTTTCCTCTTCAACTTCAAAATTTAGCTCCAAAAGCATGTTATAATACAGAGAATCAAAATCACTGCTGTTTGGTCCCATGGCCTGAATGAGGCGATATTTTAATACCGAATTTCAAGTGCAGGAAGCACATGATTGAACAGCTGAATTGATTTTAACGCATGTTAATGTTAATGGACTTTTAGTATTTGTAGGAATGAACATTTCGAGTGGCTTTTGAGTATTGTACTTCAGTTCTGGGTAGAAAAAAATAGCTGGCTATATTTTTTTGCACTAAGAATGTAAGACTTAAAATTTGACCATTGTAAGTATTTGCAAACATGACTGCTCTGATGGATGTTTTGTTTCTGAGGCATGTTTTATGTCCAGCAAGGGAAGCCCATTTCTCTAGCTCTTGTCCCAGCCTGAGCTCGTGACCTGGGCTTAACTGGCTTGGGGGAGGCTGCAGGGGAGACTGTGCGTGCCCTTACCGTGTTTGACCCTCTAACCATTTCCTCACATTTGGGATCACATGGAGTGTTGGGTCTATAGCATCCATTAAGCAAATGTGACATAAGGTTTTCTTCTTTTGTGGTGTGTGGGTGCTGTAGATGGCAACACAAATATTGTCATTTTCAGCTTGCAAAAGTCTGTCTACTATGGGTTAGTGTGAGCATTTGGAATAAAACAGTTTCTGTCCTTCAGAGTAGTTATGGTCTAGCTAACAATTTTCTCCAGCACAAGCTTTCTGTTCATGTGTAGTAGGTCTATAATTGTTTCAGGTTTTTTTCCAAGTTCTGTATTTTAAAATTTGTGCTCATAAAAGTGGCTTAACCTCTGGCTCTTTCTACAGCTTTCTAGAGCTTAATAAATTTCAGTAAGCATGTTTGTTATAATGCTTAATTTCCTCTCTTAATAGATTTGCTTTGTTAACAAGAGGAATAATAGTTTCTATTTTGATACTGTAAATAATTGAAACTTCCTGTCTTTTTCAGTAATAGCTGGTTTTCGAGGAACAGTCCCACATGGCCTATCACTGGAGATTGGAGACACCGTTCAAATACTAGAGAAATGTGATGGTGAGTTCACAAGCCGGAATTCAAGTGATAATGAAGTTTTGTATACTGTTGATTTGAACCCCATTACTATTCATTTATGTTTTTAAATGAAAACTTTTTTTTTTTTAAAGTCAATAATATAACACATTCTGGCCTATTAATTTTTCTTCACTATTCCAGTGAGCTCTAATCCATATAATAATTAATTTGCAGTTCATGCTTTTTATTTAATTTCTCTGTTTAATAAGCATTCATAGAGGATAACAGTTCAAACAGCAAGGAGTTGTCATTATGATTCTTCTGCTTTCTTGGTGTTTTCAAGGGAAGACTGGCTGACATCAAGACCCTTTCAAGTGAATTCAGGGTCATAAGTTTAAATCTTAAAGCAATGTAAACATTCTCTTCTGCCTCTGTTCTGAGGTAGAGAATACTAATATGATTTTAGCAAATGAAGAGAAAGTTAAATTTTTTTCATAATCTGCCTCCTTAATGCACTAGCTAAGTCTTGTCTGACAATGTTTTTTTTTATTGTTTAGGAGTATATAGATATTTTCTTACAGAAGGCATAGGATCTGTTCCTTTGAGTCAGATTATGAATTTTGTATAGCAATGTGATAATAGATTTAGAGCATGAAGTCTAAAAATTATTTGTAAATGTTTATATGGTATGCAAAACCATTTCTATTTTATCTGGTGTGGTGTCTAGTGCAAAATGTACCTGGGTTATGTTGTTAGAAATATTTGAGGATACAGGGTTAAAAAATAATTACTAAAATTGTGAATTAAGTGATCTGAATATGAGCTGGTTTGAACAAAATACCTTTAATTGAATGGACAGACTCTTAAATTTATAATACAGTCTGAACAGCACTGTGTAATTGTCATATCTGTCCAAAAGGGAAAGATGAACTCTGTTTTACGTATGGAAATTATTTACATTAAAAATCAAAATGTTCTTTCTTCACAGGATGGTATAGAGGATTTGCCTTAAAAAACCCCAATGCTAAGGTAAAGCTTAGTTATGGTTTTGCATTCTTTGGGAAAGATGCACATTTATTTTTTACAAGATTATAGTCTCCATGTAAGAATATGATATTTACTCTTAAAAGTAGAGCTTAGTGTTAAGTACATTATTGATATTGTTTTAATTAGATTTGGACATGGATTACACTTCTAAAATGCTCCAATGTACTAGGATGATACACTTTACAAATTCGAGGCTCTGAATCTTCTTCTATTCTGATTTTTAGATTGTGAACCCAGAGGAAGCTAAGTTGAAAGGAAAAGACTACTGAGAATAAAAATTGGAAATATTGGTGGAAAAGCTGGTTAGACAGCACCTATTTTATTTAATGTTGTGAATTAATTTAGAGCAGCCAGTTGGGACAGCTAGTTTATAGAAGCCACATGCAAAGTATCAGCTGAATAAAAGATATGTATGACCATGTAAAATATGTTGTTCATTTTATTTTTATTTGATAGGTAGTCTTTGATTTCCATAGTAATATAGCTGAGAGTACTCTAAACCAGACTTTACTTTTTTTTTCCCCCCTGCACTCAGAAATGAAATATTATGAAATTTGTATTTTGGCATTTATTCATGTTGAATATGTTTCAGCTTAATTTGTCTTACTTCTCTTTCAATTTTCTTAATATCTCCTGTTGACTTGCCTCTGTGGCTGTAAATGTTTTGGTTTTCATATGGGAAACCATGTCAAGATTTTCTTTTTTCTCAACATGGTACTGAAGTTTATAGTTTCATTAAAGCCACTGAAGAAAGATCTTAAATCTTGTGTTGCTCCTTTAACCTCTATTGTGAGCTTCGCTCTTCTCTCTCTCTCCATTTCCAAGCCTCCTCAGCTGCAAAATAGGGCATACATACATTAATTTCAAAAGTTTCTAGGGGTACGTATCATAAGTCAGTGACTTTTTGTGCCTAGGCCTGCTCACAAATTTCCTTCGCTTTATATGGAAGCTCAGTGTGGGGGATAAATTTAGCCAGAGTCTAATCTGATGTTTACTACTTTGACTTCATTGATATATATTGCAATTTGATTTACAAGACGTGAGCAGTTGGGATTTGTTATTGCACCTTCTGTGTCTTTTGTTGCAATTCTCACCACATGCTTGCTGTCAGTCATGCTTTGTTGTCTGTCAAATGTGTTGATAGAAGTTAAGAATAGGTTTTCTAAACATGACTTGATGTGTGAAGAAATGAGGTACATGTTTTCTGCTTTCCTAGTGTGAATGGAAACAGTTTTCTGAATTGGATTTTTGAAGGGAGTCTCTCCGCAAGTAAAATAATAAAACCACCTTGTAACTCCACTAGTTCTTGGTATTGCTCTGTCAAGATTCTTCTCTTGTTATTCTGCCAGCTCTGACACTCGAAGAAATGATCTGTGGCAGCTGGTGTGCAGTAAGTGTGCGTCTGCAGCCACCCTGTTGTCTGGCACATCGTTACAGGAGCAAGCCTGTACATCTCACTACCCTCGGGAGATGCTCTCCTGAACTACTTTACATTACAGAGGAGTAGAGGCCTTTACAAGGGCAGTTGTCTCTACTTAGTAGATGCACTTTTGTTGAAGATCTCCTGTCTGTGTTAAAAGAAAATGGGGCACCAGCATCACAAATGAAAGCTGTATGGAGCTGTGCTTATTACGAAGAGAGCAGATATGCATTTTGCCTTGCTGCAAACGAAAGTGTTGTGTTCCCAAACAGAAACTCATCTACCACAGCTTTCCCAGGCACTGCAGGGCAGAGTAGCTACCAAATAAAACTTTGTCTTTCCTTATTAATTTCACTTTGTTATTTTGAACTTGGTTAACTTTATTCATTTTGCTTTAGTTTGAAAACCCTCATCTGAACATACTAGTTTTAAGATGCTAATAATAAGACATTATGGCCTACACCCCCACCCCTTCCCCCCACCCCCAAGTTTGTCTGTTTCTTGGAAGCCGGGACTAATTAATAAACATCTAGGATATGTTTGATTTCAAGCAATATTCTACATATTCTAAACACTTATCTTCTAATTTTCCAAAGTATTGAAGCGTTTACACTCTGAATATGGCATTTTATTTACAATTAGATCTATGCCAAGTATATATTGCCTTTTTTTTTTTTTTGTGCATCTGTTTGGTATTTATTTGGAGGACTTTTAATGCAGCACATATTTGCTTATTATGTGGTACTAAATGGTATTCCAAACTCACTTAAGGGGAGGTTTTTGCTTGTTTTATCTAAACTATTTTATTTTTCAGGGCATATTTCCATCCAACTACATTCACTTGAAAAATGCATGTGTTAAGAACAAAGGGTAGGTGAAATGTTCTGGATTCCTATATTAAAACATGGTCAGTTACTTGTTCCAAAGAGCTTTTGCTTATAAGGTAAAGTGGTGATTTTATTATGTCACAACATCTTAACTTCAGCTCCTTAGCTAACCAGATAATCTTGGATGGTCTTAAAATTGAAGTGATGTGTTTTGAAAAGACGTGGAGCACAACTGGGAATTTGTTTTGCCAATGACCAGGCCCAACAAAAATGATACAGCCAGCAGGGAGATGAACCAATATGCAGACTGTATTGTAGACAGAAATGTTACTGTATGAATGACCGCCGGGGGTACAAACAGGTCAACAAGCTCGTACATGATCGACGCCACCCCCAACGATCCCACAAACGACATGACCCGGCCCACAACAGGTGGTACAAACAGGGAACCGAGTTTGCCCATAGTTGGCATGGGAAACAGCCAGACCAGCCAGTTAAACACATGAGAAAAAGGTGCCCACATGGCGACTCTCACCTGATCGACCCGCGTTCACAAAGGCCTAAACAGACTGGGGCCCAGCTCCAGGGAGAGGCAGGAGGTCTGCCCTGAACCAGGAAGCTCTGGGGAGTGCACTCCACAGACAGACACTCCTGACTCCCTGCAAGTGGTCCCAGCTTTTATCCCCAAGCAGACCCCTGACCTTTGTCAACTCACTGCGGGACCCCTGGGGCTCATTTCCCTTCTGGCTCTCCCTGCAGGGCCGGCTGCACCCTGGGGGGAAGCTATAAGGCAAACTCACCCCCTCTTTATGAAGGGCTGTGGGAATCACCCATATGTCAACCTTAATTCAGGGGCTCGGGGTTCAAACCCCAGCATTTCAGAATATCAGTCTGTATTGTCTAGGATAAAGAGAAAATGATTGCATGTTTTCTATTCCTGTTGACAAGTTTGGTTTGCAAATGGTATTGCCTTAACTAGAAGTTACTATGTGGAGAAGCTGACTGTTAATCTGCTGTTTAAGATCAGTTGTTTTCTCTGAGGACAGCAGCTGTACTGTGGCAGACAGCTGGCATTTAAAAAAAAAAATGCTAAAATAATGTATCAGTTCAATGACACAACTATAAATGGAGATTTTTTTTCTTTTTCTTCTTCTCTTCAGGTGATGAAGAGCCAATATCTATTTTTGACAACAGCTGATCTCTTCTTTTTAAGAAGAGTTAATAAAAAACAGAACGATTGGTTAAAATTAGCTTTAAAAGGTTGCTTTGGAACTCAAATATCGTGAATAAAAACTAATATTTATTTTCTTTAGATGTAATACTTACCTTGACAGTATCACTTTTTTTTTTTTATTTGTCAGTGATCTTAGATCAACATAGTTTCTTCCGAAGTTTTGCTTAATTTGGGAGTACTCACATTTTATAATTTATTTAGATTTATTAATAGAGAACTGATACATAACGATTTGACACCTCTTTAGATAGAGACATTTCTTATCGTAGTAGATGGCTGGTTAAACGTCAGGTGTAGATGACCATTCTGGGAGCATGAATGAGTAGAAAGAACATCCATGATTCATGATGGGCAAAAATAATTATGAAGACTGGAATCGTAAAAAAAAAAACATTTCTCGTTCTCTTTGGTGAAATTTGCTCCATGTTAAACACTGTTTGCCATGGATTCCAATCCACATGTGGTTTCTCATGCCTTAAGGATCCTTTCTCCTTTAAAAGTGGTTGTGGATAAAATTAAAGTTTCAGTGAAAGAAAATTGTTGTAAACTATCCTAATAAATAAGTTAGTTTTGAAAATTTTTCACAACAAGGATGATCAGCCATTGGAATTATGTCGCATGAGAAGTGGTGGATTCCTCGACATTGAACACTTTTAATATTCAGGTGGACAGGATGCTGGTCCATTTTATCTAGACCATGCTTTTCCCAAGGAAGATTGGACCAGGTGATCCTTGAGGTTCCTTCCAACCTGATTCTATGGTACTGTGATTAAAAACAAACCTGGAAAACTTGATGGTGTGGTGTAGAGTTTGGTCTTGACCACACCAACTCAGCTTTTTGTTGGCCAACATCAAATAGGCAAGAACTCACACTGTACTAGTTTTGTTTTGAGTTTTTATAGCCCCATTTAATTAAAGGAATGACATTTCTGTATTATTTCTTTAAACACAGATGTAAAAAAAAGATTGGCAACAATCACTGGCTTGTGTCTAAGCTAAAGGGCAAGGTCCCTTTGGAAAGTGTGGGAATTACTCTGCTGTGAGAGTAGTTGTTAACTTGCGTATCTCACAGTAAAAAACTCACCTTGACTTCTCTAGGACCAAGACATTGCATGGGGATTTAATTATTTTCACTCAAGACTTCTCCATGGCAGTTAAATGCAATATAGAAATAAAAAGTGTGACAGGTTCAGGGAGCACCCATGTAAGTTGATAGATGCCACTGCTGGCAGGAGGAAGTCTTTGTACTAGAAACTGTAATGGGATTTGTAATGCTTGTGTAATATTGTGTGTTCTTCTGCACATTACAGACAATTTGAAATGGTTATTCCAACAGAAGATTCTGTTATTACAGAAATGACATCAACTTTAAGAGATTGGGGAGCAATGTGGAAACAACTCTATGTGGTAAGTACCCTGATTAATGTTACTTTGATTTAATGGCAGATCAAAAGACACACTGTTGTTTAGATGCTCTGACCTAGTTTAAATATGTGTTTCATAAAAAAAGCATTCAGTTTGATTTTTAACTGCTCTAATTATGGTCTAAATGCATGTTTTAATTTGTTCCAATTACTGACTACTGCTGCTGCTAAACTTTAGCAACGTATTGATTGAGTCTTGTCCAGCTTCATTGTGTAGCTGTTGGATGTAAGGGTTCCTTTGTCTGCTGTATTGAAGTGCTGGAAATAAATGTAACAAACAATATTGGTATTTTATTGAAAATGAGAAATATAGCATATTATTGAAAAACTCTCAGGCAGTTGATTTAGTTTAGACTCACTTTGTCATATATTTTTGTTTCCTCATGTCCATAGACTCAAAAGCACCATGTCAATGTAGTTTGACCAGGTTCTCTTGTATATGGAGCCGGGAACAAGGGATGCCAGCTGTTGAATCCTCATTGCTGAGGGAGGCTGAAGAGTGTGACTAGCAATAGTGAACTGGTTTTGGATTTACCTACCACATGTTGCAGAATTAGGTTTTGGTTTTAAACTTCTTTATCTCACACATCATAAGCTTTAAGTAAAAGTTCTACTTTAATAAATACTTAACAGTTTTAGCTTTCTGTTTAATTTACTAGATTAAGCTCCTCAGATTTAACTTTAAATCATGTTTTTTAGCATTAATCATTCCTGTTTTCTGAACCCACGTTGTATTTTCTGTTGCATTTCTGGACTAAGAGCTGGATATAGTGTTCCAATAGCAGTTGTGAGTACCAACCACAATGTAGCAATAAGCAAATATTCTTTTTCAAAGAACAACTATGGTGTGTGTTATTTCTGTGATTTCCATTTATCACTCTATAGACCTATTGTGCTTGCTCTGTAAATGTGGTCTCTTGAATTCTGTAATTACGACCCTTAAAAACTTAAGCAAAGATTATATCAATAAAAATGTGGGATTTTTTTTTCACCTAAGGCAGACAAACTTTATTTGCAAAGAGAAAACTCTTCCATACTAAGCCACCTGATGGTTTCCTATTTATAGTCTTGAGTCACCAGTCACTTAAGCAAATCTTACTCCATTATATAAATCCCATAGATGTGGGATTATTCAACTTTTTTTATCTAAAAATTGTGCAATATCAATAGAATCTTGAGTAGAAGCTCCCTAGACTGTTTTACAGTCCTGTGTCTCCTGTGAGACCACTGCAGTCTCCCATTCTTTGGGAAGTCTCAGACCGGTGACTTATTCACTGTAAGAAATCCTACTGTTACCTTTTTATTGGCTACTACCGTAGGCAGAAGTTATTTTGCTTCAGTGTACTTACAACACAGAGAAATAAACCTGTTCGATATCTTTCTTTATTCTGGCTAAAATTCAGCCTTTGCTGACCATTTTGCATCTTTTAACATCTTTTGTTTTGCACATCATAATCTAAAACATAATTACTATAATTTTCTTTTTACTATGTTAGCTCTTTATTTTGCCTTCTCTTGACTGCAGAATTGTCTTCAAAGATTTAACTAAAATATTTCACTTTCTAATTGTGATTTGCGTCCTGATCTTCTTACATTTCTAACATTTGACATTCTATTCTACTACATTACAACCAAACCATGGTTTAGACTTGGCAGCATGCACACACATGAAACAAAAAGACCTGTTCACTTGCATCTACATAGTTTTCAACCCCTCATCTTAGCTCATTGGTGTGTTGATAATTATGACCAATTGTGATAAGATTAGCCATCTACTGCTGATACAGGGGCTGCTTCTCCTACAGAAGAAACAGCAATGAATGGTGCCAATAGACTTCCTTCAAGTGAGGATGGTACAGAAGTAGCCAGTCTACTGTCTTTTTGAGATGATTGTATGGATTGTGTTTAGAGAGGCTGTTCAGAACCAGGTGATCTTTCTGAAAACTGCAATTGGAGAAGCTGCTAATTTGCTTAGTGAAAGCTTTTATACAAGAACCTACAAAATCAAGCATTTCTTTCTGTTGGATTCTTCAGTAATAGCCTATCATTTTAAAATTGACAGAGAAATTGTAATTAAGCCTTATGAAGTGTTTCTTGAGAAACAAACTTTTGTTAAAGCTTATTGGAAATTTCTGTAGATCATAACAGTAGTTTTCTCAAATCTGTGAAGCATGTCTAAATGTGGTTGCTTTGTGTGTATTAGCAAGTAGATCAGTTGCTTCTCCTCTGACAAATAAAGCAAAACTATGATGTCTTAGTGTAGAGACCTAAATCTATAAAGCAAGCACAATTGCTTGCAGATCCACTCAGCACTTTGAGATACAAGCAACTCATAGACAAATTCTAAAGCTTTGGAAAAGAAAGGATACCTAAAAATGTTATTTTGAGCTTGATAGTGTTGTTAAACATTAGCAGGTCTCTTGTATTCACATTAATAATTTAATTCATCAGAGCTTATGATTGGCTACTGAAAACAAAGATGCGCCTGAATGCATGTTTATTTGATTTGGGTTTTCAACTGTAGAAATGAAATCTATACACTAGTTAGTGTCTGATGGAAAATGTGAAACCATGCTGTCAGCCTAGTACTCTGTAACATTCCTACATAGTCTTTTTTGCCTCTTGCTTCAAGAGCTATTTGCATGACAAGTTTTGGATTTCTTTTACTTATAAAGGTCATGTATTCCCATTGCTATTACTGAAGTGGTTTCTTTTTTGGCATTTTTTTTCATCACTGCTCTTGTTATTATGTATTCAAAATACACTCACTGTCCTTTTTCCAGAGAGAAAGCCAAAAAGGAAAAAAAAAAAAAAAAAACAAATTCATGTCCCTTTTAATGACCTTATTGAAGTGAATGAATGTGAAATAAAAGGATCAGATTTGTCAAACAGCAGGTTGTCAGAGCCCTTGGAATATAAAAGTTATTGACAGAGAGTAATGCTTCTCAGTGAATTTTAGCTTTTCATAAAGTATTTTTAGCAGCAATAGCTGAACTTTGTTTTTATGAGATTTGTTCATAGGAATAAAAAAAAGGGAACCGAGATTAGGTTGTTTTATTTTTTTTTTTTTTAACAATTCAAAAAAAAACTGAGCAGGAAGGGTTTTTCAGCTGTGTGACGTATCACTTAAATGAAGATTGCAATAATTTTCTCAAGCTAAAGTTGCTCTGAAAAACTGTTAACAAGTAAAAGAAAGAAGAGTTAAAAAACCCTTAGTTTGGGAGGAAGCTGTTGTGGTGAATTGTTTATGTCCTTAACTGGTATGTAGTTAGAGCAGAAGGATGTGGTTTAAAAAAGCAATCATACTCACAAAGTTTCTCCTACTTGACAGTTACGTGTAGAACAACTGTCAGGACAAGACTCTGTTTACATGTTACTGTTTGTTCATGGTTAGACAGTAGCATGTGCAGTTATGTCCATGCAAGAAAAAGTGAAAAGAATGTTAACACTATAATTCAGTGCTTGAATGCTAGCAGCTGTTAATTTTTTCATCCCTTTATGTGCGTATGAGTTCATATAGTCTTGAATTACATGATCAGATATTGCGTTTGGGTGAGACAGCAGCACAGAGCAAATCTGCTCTTGGAATAGAAGAGTTCTATGGCATGAAATTTTTTTTATTTTTTTGTCATATCCATCACATACATTAGACTGGTTAACAAGAGATATAAGGAGCTGGAGTGAAATTTTGGAGTATGGTGTCAAAGCAGAATCTGTGGCAAGCTCTGAAATTATTTTGTATGCACGCACACGTTCACATGCATGCAGGTAAAATGGTCACAGTACGATGGGGAGAAAAAAGACAAAGTAGGGGAATAAAGAAGGATTTTTCTTGATTTCTCCAGCATATCTGTATTTATTAGGACTGTCAGTTTATATAGGTGTTATAGGGGCAATTATATTCTTATCCCACAGAGGAATGAGGGGGATCTCTTTCACCGACTGTGGCACATAATGAATGAAATCCTAGACCTGCGAAGGCAGGTCCTCGTTGGCCACCTCACCCACGATCGAATGAAGGATGTCAAGCGACACATCACTGCTCGTCTGGATTGGGGCAATGAGTGAGTCAATAAAATAATATATGAAAATAGTGTCATCTAATTATAATGCCACAGCTTCAGGATCACTGTAGAATGTTGAAATAAGGAACAAATTTCTGACAGTTGTTAATTTTTCTTTTCTTTAATGGATTTACTCCTTTATTCTTTTCCTGTCCACTGTGTTTTAACAGTGAAAAATGACCTGTCATTTCATTTTGATTTTTTTCTCGCAGTTTATTCTAAATAGTGGTACCAACTACAAGACAATTACACTGGAATATGTGCAGCATCCTTTTATATATTTTTTAGATCTTTAAATCACAGCTGGCCAGATTCCTACAAGATGCAATTAGCATAGCTCTGTTGTCTTAACTGAAACTATATTGGCTGACGTTGCTTCCTTTTTGACTTGTCACACAGTTCAATTCCTACTTGGGCATCTCTAACATACATCTTGCCACTGTGTTCTGCATCTTTCTTTTATCTGAATATCTAATAAGAACTAACAAAAATGTTTTTTTTTTTTCTTTAAATCAGAGAATGGAAATAGCACCCAAATGTATTTTAACCTAAGTTTTTTCTTTAGTGTATATTAATTCAGTTAAATTCTGACTAAATGCAGCAATATTCAGTAATAGAATTAACTGAATTTCAGAGGTTTCTGCAACAACTTCTGTCTGAAAGTCTAGATAAATAACATAGTGGAAGAACTGTGATTATCTGTATATGATTAACTGTCTGCTTAGAATTTTGTGCTAACCAAATGGAATTGTGATGGTTTTTGAAATGGTCAGTTCCTACTCTTTGAAAATATTGTAAAAAAAATCCTTTCTGATCTTTCAAGTTTTTTTTAAATTCAGCATGACTGCCCTGTATGTGTTCCTAATCTTTATTGCTTGCTGCTCTGTTGAAAATAAGTTTTATTCCTGTTGATTCAGGTTCATGTCATTATTTTGTTCAGGGGATACAACCAAGAAGCTTTGATGCCATCCAGTCCAAATTAAAAATAAGCTGATATTTTGGCATTTGATGGATTTTCTTTTTATCTTCTTTCCCATGGTTGTCATTCCAATTGACAATACTAGTGCGATTCACATTGTACAATATCCACAGTAGTACAAAGGACAATATCCATTGTACATTGTCCTCAATGTGAAACAGATCTAAAAATTGTGGAGAAATGTATTCTATTAATGTTACACAGTGAAGAAAGGGGAGGAATCATCTGTAAATTGTAAAAACAGTGAAAATACATTAAACCAAACCCATCTGTTGAGTACCAATTACCATACACATTGCTCATTGTAATGTTTCTGTGAAATGTAAATAGAAGCAATGAGTTAATTTGTTTCCTTTGTTTGTTGAAGCTACTTACTGCTATTCTATTTCTCATACAGGCAATTAGGGCTTGACTTAGTTCCGAGAAAAGAATATGCTATGGTGGATCCTGAAGAGATCAGCATTACAGAGCTCTACAGGCTGGTAGGTGAATATAATCCTAGTGCTTGTGCTATCAAATTGCATACTGATGCTTTGATGGCAGCTTTCTTCTACTTAACCAAAAAATACTTTTTTTTTAGATCAAATAAACTGGCATTTCATAATGTCATGAGTTTTACTATGAGGAAAGAAGTTTTCTTCTGAACAGTTATGTCATCTCTACATCTGTACGAGATGCTTCGATCTGATGTCAAATTTGTGGGCACACATGCTCTTGTTAGAAATTTTTGTTAGAAGTTTTGTCTCCTGATATATCATTAAAATTGTGACTGTTAGCATGAATTTTATCATCGGTAAAAGCTTATGAGACTCTTCTTCATTAGCGCTTTACCTGACCCATGAGTCCTGCTAGATAAGATTTGTGGAAATATAATAGTGTACTCATGGTACAAGTACTGTCACAATTAATCATACTGGGCTATTGGTCTTTTCTAATATATTAATGTAAATAGCAGTTAAACTGCATAGAAAAGCTCTCCTTTGGCTATGAAAGCCCATCTTGATTTACTAAAACCAGCACTGTTATTTCTCATTCTGATTTAATATAATCTTTTTCTGATTTAATTTTAATGATATTAAATCAGAAATCTGAGAAAACTTGCCAATTCATTTATATGGGCTTTGGCTCATATTTAAGTACTGCAGCTGTTACACAAAGTTCTTAGCCTTACTTGCTTAAGACTAAGCTTTTATATAAACTGCAGGGTTTTTTAATGTTAACTTCTGTGTTTAAGTATGGAATAGAGCAAAAATATGTAAATGCTACAACTTTCCATGAAGCCAAAATTGTAATTTTTTTTTTTTATAATTTGTAACTACTTATGTTGATAACTTGTAATGTCAAGCCTAATAGTAATTTCTTCATGCTTGAATCAGTGTACCTTCAGGCATTTTCAAAGTTTTATGTAATCTTATGGATTCCTGTTGATGCACTAGATGAAATACAGTGAGGAACCATTAATCATAACAAGAAACACACAGAGGAAGAATCACCCAGAAAACTAATAATGGAGTTCATGGAGTGCGCTTTCAAATATAAAGAGGGAGGAAAAAAAAAAGTTAAGATAACCTCAGTTTGAAGGATAATAGCTTAGAAAGATTGCTGTTTAAAATTATTTTTAGTACAATGTAAGAGAGAAATAGTGCAACTTAATATTGTCCTACTCTAGATGGGTGATTAAAATGTGAACGTTTAAACTACGAGGTCAATTGAAGATAATTTAGTAGCCTCTATACATCAGTCTGCCAAAGATTATAAAATATGGATGTGATTTTTCTTTTTTCATTATAAAATACTGGTATTTAGTCTTGAGCAAAAACATTTTTTGTGTGTTTGAATACTAGAATATCAGATCATTAAGTATTTAAACCAGATATGAAATAGTATATTGTTACAGCACAAAGCTTTAAAGTGGCTTAGAATTTTCAGAGTAGAAAAAAGGTGAACTTCTTTTTTCTCCTAGAGATAATTATGATGCAGTGCAACACTGGGAAGGTCACTTCCTTGCATTCTCCTTCTCAGGTACAAAAAAAACCCAAAACAACAAAAGCCACATGCGCACACACACAAAAAAAAATACCCCAACACTAACCGAAAAAACCAAAGCCACAAAACCTATTACAATTTAATATGGAATTAAAAATTTAACAATTAGGATTAAGAAAGTAGTTCAGTATTATGGCTTTTTACCTGGTTTTGTTTTGCAATTTTATAATTAACTTAAACTGGTTATTTTATTTTTTTGTGGCATTTTTAGATGGAGCATCGTCATCGAAAAAAAGACACACCAGTACCAGCAAGCAGCCACCATCTTTTTGTTCAGATGAAGAGTCTGATGTGCTCCAATTTGGGAGAGGAACTGGAAGTAATCTTCTCGCTCTTTGATAGTAAAGAAAATAGGCCCATCAGGTACCACATGTTTTTTCACTAGAATAATGATTTTACATAAGTTTTGTCAATATGCACTGTATGTTTTGATCCAGGTAACAAACTTCACTTTTAGAAACAAGCAGAAGTTAGTCTTGATTCAGGACAATGCTTTGCTTCCCTTTGAAGTTCAGATTCTATACTTAATAGAAATTATATCATCTTAGGTTTAAATATTGTATATTTCTCCATCTTGTTTACTTATTTCAGTATTCATTTGGTTTTGTGTATGAACATATATACTTACATACATACAGAGTGAACGTTAGTTCTGTGACCTAAAGGTAGACCTCTGTTCTATTCTGATCAGTGCATATTCAAAAATTAGAACTGCTGCTTGCTCTGCAGTATTTGAGATGAATTCTCCTAGGTATGTGAGACTGGAGGGCTGCCCTTACTGAATTAAGAGTCTTTTTATAAAAGGAGCCTGTACTTCGATGAGGAGGTGCCTGTTCTTCAGTGAAACAGTCAAAATCAATCTCACCTCCATTTAGAGCTTGATTGGCCTCTTTTTTTTCAGCTGGGAACTGGTTCCTGGAACTATTATTTTTCTGTTTATCTGGGATCTTAAATTCCGAGAGAGCCCTGGTAACCTTTGCATTTCTAAATATTCAGTAGTTATTTCTACTCCCAGCACATTTCTGGCTGAGAGGGGGAACATGGGGAGTGAACAGTAGCAGAACCACTATGCACTTAAGTAAATATGAGCATAGGAGGAGAGCGCAGTTAGTGCAATAGCACTGTAAGTTCTGTTTGAGGAATATGCCAGGAAGATTGAACCATTAAATGCTTATGCAGAGGTGATGGGTGTGGTGTGTTGACTGTGGTTGTATGCCAGGTGCCCAAAAAAGCTTCTCTATCACTCCCTTCTTTAGCAGGATAGAGAGAAAAAGTATGACAAAAGGATTGTGGATTGAGATAAGGACAGGGAGAGATCATTCATGTCACAGGTAAACCATACTCGACTTGGGGAGAATAAATTCATTACCAGTTAAATCAGAGAAGAGTAATGAGAAATAAACCCATCTTCCCCCTACCCCTCACTTCTTCCCTGGCTCAACTTCGCTCTGTATATATATATAATCTCTCTATATATCTAACTCCTCCCCAGGTGGACCCCAGTGGTGCAGGGGGACAGGGAATATGGGGGTTGTGGTCTGTTCATCACACATTGTTTCTGCTGCTCTTTCCTCCTTAAGGGGAGGACTCCTCACATTCTTCCCCTGCTTCAGCGTGGGACCCTTTGCATGGGAGATGGTTCTCCATTAACTTCTCTAACATGAGTCCTTCCCATGGGCTGCAGTTTTTCAAACTTCTCCAAAATGAGTCTTTTCTGTGGGCTGAAGTTCTTAATGAACTGCTTGAGTGTGAGTCCCTTCCATGGGGTGCAGACCTTCAGAAACAGATTGCTCCAGTGTGGGTCCACCACAGGATCAAAAGTCCTGCCAGCAAACCTGCTCCTCTCTACATGGGTCCTCAGGTCCTTCCAGGAGCCTGCTCCTGTGCATGTTCTCCATAGTGTCACAAGCTCCTTTGGGCAAGTCCACGTGCTCCAGCCTGGGATCTTCCAGAGACTGCAGGTGGATATTTGCTCCACCGTTAACCCCCACAGGGTGCAGAGGGACAGCCTGCCTCACCATCATCTGCAAGAGGAATCTCTGCTCTGGAGCTTGGAGCACCTTCTCCCCCTCCTCCTTCACGGACCTTGGTGTCTGCAGTGTTCTTCCACATATTCTCACTCTCTCTGGCTGCTGTTGCCCTTGCATAGCTTCTCCCCCATCTTAAACATGTTATCACAGAGGTGCTACCACCATTACTGATTGGCTTAGCCTTTGGCCATCAGTGGGTCTCTCCTGGAGCCAGCTGGTATTGGATTTAGTTGACATAAAGGAAGCTTCTAGCGGCTTCTCACAGAAGCCAGCCCTGTGACCTCACCTCTGTCAAAACCTTGCCATACAAACCAAACACAATGTCAGGTCATGTTCTGGTCAGAAGGCTCCCATTGATAATTTGGCCACTGTATTCTTCAAGAGCTGCTCCAACATGAGTCCTTCCCATGGGGTGCATTTCTTCCGGTCATCAGCCACTACATTCCTCTGTGCTCTTCTCATGATAGAGAGAACGTGTTTTGGAGAAAACAAACATCATCTGCTTTAAGACTGGCTACTAGAGAAACAAAGAATTAGACTTCAAAACAAAAAACACCTTAGATAAGACAGCTCACAAATATAAGAAAAAAAAAAAGCTACTGCTCTAAGCCTCTAATAAGGTAAAAAGTGTTTCTCAGTGTGTAGAAAGCCATGACTGTGTAGTAATTGTTGTCTTATGACAATATGCATTTGGGAAACCATGTGGAATATGGGCTGAATTTGACAAAATTCTGTCTGTGCTTTGTCATTGGGCAAGATAACTAACCAATGCTTTAAAGGTAAGTTATACTGAGTAAATTGATCATTATTATTAACAAAATCATATATAAGCAACTATTGTAAATGCTAGCTGCTAATTACTGGCTCTTCATTCTGGCCTGCACTTTGGACATTAGTCACCAAAGCAGTTTGCTGTAATTTCTGAGATTTAAATGTTCATCAGGGAACATCTTTTGTGTTCACTCCAGTGAAAGCCACAGCAGGTGATAGATTTAGGAGAAAGCTTCAGACCTTGACAGAAAACAATTTGGGTGTTATGGATTGCTGAAAATAAGGTTATGGCGGTAGTGATGGTGTGAAAGCAAATGGATTGGATTTCAAGTTCACATGAAAGCACAAATTCTAGAGATGTTTGTCACATGCTTGCTGTGATCTGACCTTTAGTTATTGATTCCTGACTCCAGTGTCTGTTTGCAGCTGTTTTATTATGTGTGAACTTCCTCATCCCATTACTAGCAAACCTTGAAGAAGTGTGTTGCCATGAATCCAAACTACCTTCCAGGGCCTGGGGGCAATGACAAGATGAAATTTGTGAAGGTAGTTTGCAACCGTCTGCAAAACAAAGAAACATACACCCCAACAACAACAAAATCAAAACAAAAAATTCTCTCAGGAAACAAACAGAAACCTCTCAAGATGTTGAAAACGTAGAAACCAAGAGAGTTTTCACAAGAACACGTTAAATGTAAGGTATATCTGTATCACAGAACGAACTAATTTATATGATCTTTGTGGACTAGACCTGGAAACAACATAACCAGGTTTAACAGGATTAAACCAAAGCTAATTGTTCTTGGTGAACAGCAGTGTGGTGTGATGTGTAATTTTTGTTCATGTGGGATATTTCAGAGGTCTTTAGGCCATGGCTGATGCATGCATGAAATGAACAGCCTCCCTCAGAAAAATGAGGAATGAGAGGAGACTGTCTGCACTCCACAACTATAGCATTTCATGTCCTGCAAAGGTGCCAAAGCCTTCTGCTTTGACTCTTCTGCGCAATTCTGATGAAAGTGCAGGTAAAGAGCTGTGGCAACACCTTAAGAGCTGTCACAACCTAGCTCTGTCATTTGTCTCTTGGCTTCCTAAGTCATTGTTTTGTGGTCCAGTACTAAAATGCAATCATAGATTAAAGTTGTTGATAGCACAGATAAACTTAAGGAACTATACAAGAGAATTTATTTCCTGAAACAGAAAGATTGTAGTTGAAGACTAGAAGTATGTTAGTATATATATGACTTAAAATGTATTTCTTCAGTTCATTGCTTATGGTATTAGATTTTTGGGATTTTGTTTCTTTGGACTTTGTTGCTTTTCACCTCAAATTTCAGTTTTGTAAGCACTACGTGTGTACCATGCTTTCCTCTGGTGGTAAATCCTGCTTGTTTTAGTGAGACTAAAACTTATTTGAGTGCATAATGTTAAGTACAAGCTTACAGATACAGTTGCTTCAAAGGTGTAGCTTTATGTGGATTCTAATATAGGGTTTGTTGTCTACCTGATGTAAATTGTCATAAAGCAAGTGATCTTTGTGGTGTCTTAAGCAAAGAGTTTGCGTGGAGAGATTAAAAATAACAGAATTGAGATTGTGATAGAATTTCTGTTCTGATATTTTTCTTAATACTAAGTTAGTTTATTATCAGGTGGACCTGCAAATATAAGATCTCTCTATAACTATCTTATTTTTTGTAACTTCAGGTCTATGCAATTGGAATAGCAGCCTTAAAAGATTGTTTCAGGACTAAAAGCAACATTATCTGATTAATTTTTTTGATTGATTGCATATATTTTTCCACAGTGGGTTTATTTGTGTGTTTGTGTTGTTTCATATATTCAGCTGTTTGAATAGAAACGTTTGTTCAAGTTTCATGGATAAACTGAATTGCAATTGTAGCTACTAAGGCGGAGCACATTTCTAGGAATATTAAGGCTTTGGGGAGCTTGAGTACAGCAGTTGCCTGCCTAGTTCAGCTCCAGACTAGTGCAAGAAGAAGCAGAGTATGGGTAGAATGTTCTGATCCAAAGTGGTTAGTAACATTTTGAAAGCAATAAAGCATGTTCAAGCTCAGAGCTCACCTGGCTTCTTAATGTTAATGGCCTGCAAGGAACCACAGCATATAAATGATATTTTGCAACCTGTTTCTTAGTGAGATTATCTTTAACATATTAGTATCAATCTGTTGCATATTGCTGCAGATTTTATACAGAATATTTTCATGAAACTTTGAGTATTTGTGCATTCCTGATGAGAGGAGGTAATTTTACTAGCATGCATAAACCAATCTGATTTTGTGATAGTGACTTTGCAACTGCAGTTGTTGATTTTTCTGATCAACCATAGTGTCAAATACTTTGAAAGGGTTTGATTGTTCTCTTCCTTAATTTTGAAAATATTTGAGTTAATTGTATGTTATCACATGAAAAAGTCTGTGCTTTGGAAAAAAAAAAGGGATAAAGGAAGTTACTTGGTAACATAGGGAAGGTACAGTTCAATAGCTGACCTTATAAGGAAAATATAACATCACTACATACTAAGACGAGATTAAAAGAATACAG